TATATATATATATATATATATACATACATATATATTTATATATACATAGTTTAAATGTTTTATTCTATTTTATGAACCTAAAATCAGTAGTCCTGCATACATTTATTCTGTATTCTAAATCAGTTTTGAGGAGTTATAGCTGTTTTTATTTCTTTTTATATTTGTATTTTTCATTGTAGAATGCTTACTGTTGTGTTTTTTTTTTTTTAGGTAGACAATTTTAAGATCTGTCCAGGGACAACAGATGAAAAATAGCCTTTTGCAGGAATGCTTGTAATGTACACTATCCCTGTCAAATAAATAAATAAATAAATTTTAAATCAATTTTTAAATATTTAAGTAATGTATTGAGTATTACAGAAATTAGATCAAGTTTAAGAGTATCCAAACATTCATTTAACTGTTTCAGTATTCCCTTTGGCTAAATATTTCTTATAATAATAAAATAAATAATATTTTAACTAGAATTACTGCTAGATCCTGTATAACAGTTAGGACTATTGTGTACAGATGAAGCTTCTCTATGCGGCCCAAACACGACTATGAGATCATAAAATTAAATTTAAAAAAAAGAATAAAATCTTTCCAACAAACAGATAAAACAATAATAATAGTATTATCTATTTACTAACATATAACAAATGATAAATAATACATATTACTTATTTATAGCTCTTTATTTTTATGCATTTTTCCAAAATATAATACGAACTGTAATATAATGTATGGTATTATGTGCTACATGCCAATTCAAAGTAGAATATGAATGTGAAATGGGAGAAATATCATAAATGCTTTTCACATTTGCATAAAATGTAAATTATACATATATTTCTGTCCAGAGTAAACAGCCTGTTCACAGTCTGGATCCAAATTTCTGTCTTAAAGCAGCAGCTTTGTGAAAGATAATAGCATGATACTGCTAAACATGTAGAATGACTACAGAGAAGGGATGGTCAAACTGAGGGCTCCTACTCAAAGTAATCTCTCCACTCATATTTTAGGATGTGTGTTTTTTAACCTAAGACAGACAACAAAAATTCAGATTTTCCTTGCCTTGCTGTAATTGGTATTCAAATACAATATTTAATTTAGTTAAGTTCTTCTGTTTCATCTATTTTAGACAGATGACACCTTTTGTTGCATAAATATAGATGTGACATAAAGTCCAAATCTTTGTCTCTGAGATGAATTTGTTTTACCTTTTTTTGCAATTGATCATGGAAATATATTTCCCTGTGTGAGTCCTGCAAGGAAAAAAAATTATAAATTACAAAAACATCCACAGTAAAGACTGCAGCAGAGGCCATTCGCTCCTTTTTCTCTTTTTTTCCCCAAGCTGGAAAAATTTCTGGTATTCGGTAAACTATTCCTCCTTCCAAGTGCGCAGAAGCAGGATGTTGATTTCCCTCTTTTTGATCGAAACTACAGAAGCATGAGCACAAAACTAAAACTTATTCTTTGGCTTTGGCTATATCAAGTGCTTCATGGTAAGTAAAAAATAAACACTCTGGTAGTTTAAATGCTGTGATATTAAGGCGGTTCATAGATTGAAGTTGCTTTCAGGAAATCAGCTTAGTTTTCTGCAGTGAATTCTTTGAAATTAATAAAAGTTTATCCTTTTCAGATGTGGCAGGAGGCTCAGGTCCAGATCCTGCAACAGATGCATCGTCTCTCTCTGATGCAAACTTGATGTTTGAGGTAACTTTAGTTCTTACTTTATTCTCTATTGTTAAATTATTCATGCCATTTCCCTCCATGGACAAAACGTATTCTGTATCCAGTTTTTGCTGAGTGGAGTGGAGATAAACCAGGACAATAACGTTTTCCTGCTGGATGAGGAACTGGCATCGATGAGGAAAGGGAGGGAGTTCCTGTCTCGGATCAACGATGACATTCCGTTAAGTCCAAGAACAATGCAAGCCATGGTTCAGACAATGAAGATTGATCAGAAGACGACTCTAAATGTGGATAAGTTTGAGAGGCTGGTTCTGTGCATGGTTTACTCTGCACTGCAGGCCAGAGTCCAGCCAAGCCAAGAGGAGCGACAGGCCTGGAGTGGAGTTCTCCTCCAGCTAGGAAACATCACCACCCACGAGTTACGAGGAAGTTTTCTCTATAATTATTCATAGAGAAACCGTAAAAGGTGTGCGCTTTTATTTTGAAGGCTTGAATCTTTGAATGTTGCATGCAATTATTTTTTCCCCCAAAGAAATAACCAACAATGTATGATATATTGCAGAATACATTTATTGTTTTACAGTAGAAAAAAGTGCTAGGAAATGTTTTGTAAATAGAAAATGGTCATATAAAAAAACTAACAAACATTTTTTAAACATTTGAACAATCTTTAACCATAGAAACATAAACTGTAACATATTAATGTACAAAACAAGCTGTTCTGGCTCTCTGAGGGTTTACTTCTTTCTCATCCGCCCAGTTTTGGTTTTGGTTTCCGTTTCTTCCAGAGAAGCGAGCTTTTTCTTCAGCTTGGTGTCCCCGGCTTTACCCCTCCGCTCTCTGCTGGAGCGCTGCTGCTGACTCCTCCGCTGACCTCTTAACCCCTCCTCTGAAGCTGAGCTTTCCTCAAGATGTTTATGTCGGCCACTGATCAACGACTCGTCACTGTCCCAGATCAGAAGTGTTAAACCTGAGAGCAAACATTTCATTGTTGAAGAAAGTATTCATCCATTTAACCTATTTGATGTGTATTAATGCTACGCTATATAAGCTAGAACTATTTTCCACCTTTATTATTAATGCATCATAACAAACAGCCTCCAGAAGCCACCTAAGTAGAGCATTAATTGGCCAAGCAGCAGAGATATGCAAACTCTGGAGGACCTGCAGAGATCCACGGCTGTTAGAAAAACCTGTCAGACAATATCAGTTCTTCCCTCACTGCAAAAACAATCTAAAATGAGTAAAACATGTCTTAAAATAAGTATA